TTTCAGAATCAACCAACCCACCCACCCACCCATGCACCCACACATAAAACCAGTATTAGGGCCAGAGATAGAGTCAATCAAGGAGTATAAAAGAAATGGAAATCTGCTTTTGTTCTGTTTCTTTTCTCTCTTCTGCTTTCTCTAGGCATTGAGAAGGAAAATAGAACAACAGGACTTAAGGCATAGGACTTAAAAAAATACTAGAAAGTCAAATGTTGTCACCATCCAAAATTTAATACACTATTTCCAGAAGGATTTTCCGACAAAATTTAATTTTAAAAATTGAGCCTTCTGAATACAATAAAACGAACCTAGAATATCATTTCAGGAAGCCTGGACTGCAAGATGAAATCCACTCAGGTGAAAACATACGGGATGTACATGTATGTGCTTGGATGGATGTAGTTAGTTTGAAAACCTCAGCTGCCTTAATGGATGTGAACATAATATTTACAACTGTGAAGAGTTTTACATGATTTCTAGTCAGAAAACATTTTACTAAAATGATCAAGATGCCACAGCAATAGAGTACCAAAAACATGGATCAAATTAGAAATGATCACAGACACTAACATATATCCCTAGGGCACATTGCCTCTTTTCTTTTGCAAAGCTTTCATGAGGTCTGACATGAAATCTTGCTCGCCGCTTCCTGCTGCACCGGGGAGTCCTTGGTTCTCTTGCCTCTTGGGGCACTGGGGGCTTTTTGGGGGGCATTGGAGATGACATGGTCGTCGTCTCCTGGGAGAGACAGGGAGGGGGTGGTGGTGGTGGTGGCAATTCAGAGCCTTCAAAGGCCGCAGCCCTTGGGGGTGGTGGCACAAAGTCCGGTGGCTCCTCCAGGAGGCTTGGAGGTGGTGGAGGTAACTCGCTGTCGCTGTCCTCCTCGGGTGGTGGTGGCGGGGGTGGGGGCAGGAAGTCGTCGGGCGGGGCGGGGAAGGCGCTGCTACCAAGGCCCTTGGACTTTGGTGGTAAGGCAGGGCTGCCACAGGTGTCCGAAGATCGTCTTACTGGAGGGGGTGGTGGCAGGCTGGACTTCAGGCGATGATTCTCTTTGGTTGCACCTGGGTAGTGGTTACCCAAGCCTTGCTTCTCCTCCTTCAAGAAAGTGACAACATAGCCATTATATGATATTGATGCTGGTAGGAATTGCCCCATTCCCTCCCACACTGGGACTAAGTTTGCTCATGAGCTCACCTTTGCTCCAGGTACCGGGAGTGGTATCAGATGCCTTGACATCATTATATGTGAGCACTCAACCACCACTCTCTGTAATTGGGCTTCTCAGCCACATTCACTCTAAGAAGTGTTTACTGTCTTTAGATCAGTCAAGTTTTAATAAATCCTAACTCCTTGTGGGGTTCCCTCCCTCAGTTTTATTTCCAAGCAGATTCATCCCTAGGCAACTCAAACTGGAAGCCAAATGATTCCCTAAGACTTCCTACTAAAGAGCTAAGACAAGCCATCAATAAAAGGAACACAATTTTAGAGGTGTGTGTGTGTGTGTGTGTGTGTGTGTGTGTGTGTGTGTGTGTGTGTACTGAGCCCCTGTGCCATACCTTTGGTGGTACAGAGGTAAGTATGGTACATTTCAGAGGCTTCACAGAGTCTCTTGGCTTAAAATCTGGCCAGAAAGCTCATAGACTCCAGGGGTAAACCTACTACTATTTTTGCTGAATGGACATTGTATTAATCTGTCCTCTAAATATTTATTGCTATAGCCTTAGGTTAGTGCAGCTCTCAGTCCTCATCAGAGAAATGTCTTTGTGTAGTAGACAACAGTTAATACAGAGATTCACACTAGTCATGGAGCAGAGAACAATCGTTAGTGGGGGTGCTCAGTCATAAATGGAACTTTTACGTGACACACCCTTCCCCCAAGGCTCAGTTCCTGTGAGCAAGAGAGGATAGAAAGACTGTAAAAGCCAGAGGTTGGGGAAGGTGAGAGTGAAAGTGTGTTCTGGACCTTGACCTGCATAATAACAAGCTAGTTGACATTCTAGCCCAGTTGGGACTTGTATAGGAGCTCCCACCCCTAGCTGAGGATCTGCTGACAATTGATGGCTATTAGAATCAATGTTTTTTTATGAATATGGTCCTTGGTAGATTGACCACGATCCAGTGGATAGCCCCACACCCATGAGTACATAGGCAACATTGGACTCAGTGGGTTATAAGAAAAAAGAGAATGTAAAGTTGGGAGGGAAATGTGTGTGAGTGAGGGGGTATCTGGGAGGAGTTGGAATGGGAGGAATTGGAGATAAATGTGCTCAAAACACATGTGTGCACATATGGAATTGTCAAAAAACAAATAATATTATATAAAAAACTCCTTGCTTAGATATCCTGCTTGGTTAGAATGAAGACGCTAGAAGTGATATAACTAAGAAAAATAATTCTGAGTGTTTACAAACCCAGCCATAAAGGATCTCTTCCTGATAGGGAGCATGTTCCAGTGTTCCCTTGATTGTGGATGGTATTTCTATGCATTATTGTTCCCAGAACGAAGGTTCTGGTTTCCAGACTGTGGACTTCAAAGGAGGAACTAATCATAAGCTTCACTCTCTATCAGAGAAGCTTTCAGGAGGGCGTAGCAGGAAGTAGGACACCTGGTCTAAACTCTTAGTTTACCTTCCTCTTTTTAGTGTGTGTGTGTGTGTGTGTTCAAATGCACTCGTGCATGTGTGGTGTAAGTCAGGTATAAATCGAGCATCATCTGCCTTGGGTTATAATGAAACCAAGTGCGATACGCCCTTGATGAGTTCCTGAAGTAAAACCATGATGCATATGCTGTTTGCAGAGGTCAGAACACCAGACTTGGCTTAAGTCTCTCTAGACTCTAGAGTCCATTTCTGTCAATAGAGGGCTTGATGATGATTACAACAGTGTATTTATATAAATGCAACATCCCTCGAGATTTCAGGCAGCTAAATTAAATGACTACATTTTAGGGAAAACCATCACCACTTTAATTTACACTTTATTAGCTTGTTTTAATTTTTCTCCGCTTAATCGTCTGAACAACTGAAGATTAAATTTAGATATTTTCTACTTTCCAATGAGTTTCAATTATTTACTTAGCATGCTAAACTAATTAACTTATGATATATTTCTTAAAAATTTTGGATCAGGCAGCTTGGGTATTGGTACTCACATAGAAATGATTTCTATTCTGGGCCTCTTTTATTTCTTCAGCTTTTAAAAATACTTTTTGGCTAACATTACAGAGAAAAATGAAAATATAACAGAAAGAGCATTGCACGATAATATTGTCAGGCTTACATAGATTAGAGAAACAGCTTTTAAAACTCTGAAATGGCTTTCAGAAACACTAAGGCTTTCAGTAAACATCAGTATTCACGTCTACCACTGAAGGGGTTAGTGAAGTCAATTAGTGAAGCTGTACCTACAGATCGCAGGATGTGGGGGCCTGAGAGGGCCACAGCTACTTAAAGCTGTTGAGTCACAAGGAATACTCAGTGGGATTTCCAGATGCATCTGAGTCATAGGAACTGGATTAGTAACTAAATTATAACCAGCTATGACTTTTATATAGATTTAAATTAATCTTTATTAATCTCTTTGATAGAAAAAGTTATGGAAGATGTTATCATATGCAACCTGCCTATCTATCTATCTATCTATCTATCTATCTATCTATCTATCTATCATCTATCTCTACCTACCTATCATACTTATCTATCTACCTACCCATCATCCATCTATCTATCATCCATCCTCTTTCTTTCTTTCTTTCTTTCTTTCTTTCTTTCTTTCTTTCTTTCTTTCTTTCTTTCTTTCTTCCTTTCTTTCTGGTGCTGGCGACAGAATCCAGGGCTTCACACCTTCACACATGATGGGTAAATGCTATGCCACTGATCTGCACCTCCACTTTTGGTTTTTTTCTTATGTGTATTTTCTTCTCCATTACCCTGAGCATGCATTCAAATCATTAACAGAAAAATAGAAAATGCACATTTTATGAGTAGACCCCTTTTAAGAGTCTTCTGATCTGGTTTTGGGGTTCACTTGGCACTTCATATAGGGCTTCTGACTAACTTTCAATTGCTCGTTAACAAAATAACTGAAAATCTCAAAGGCTGAGAGAACATGAAAGCCACTACAAGAAGAAAAATCCCTCTGTCATAACAAATGAAGTTAACAAACATACTTAGGGCAGCACAAAGCAATGAGAATAACAGTTGATGTTAATGTTCACCTCTAGTCTAGTAGCTGTAAGATAAAATGTGAAGCTATTTCCTTAAATGAAATTATAGTACACTGACTTCCAGGTTGTTAGAAGTCTGTTTGGGTTTTGAAAAAGGTCCCAGGACCTGCTCATGGTCATGGCTGCATTACCAGCTGGGCAGGCTTTGGGGGGTCTGTGAGTTACCTTAGTTGTTTCAACTTGTGTCTGGGCCTCTTGGAGAAGAGCACCAACAGAAGGCACTGCCTGGGGAATCTGACCATTGGGCTGGCTGGTGCCTGTTTTAAGTCCTGAGAGGAAGAGAAAAGAACGAAGAAGGCATTTTTAGTATTCTTTTTTTTAAAGATTTTATTTATTATGTATATAACATTCTGCTTCCATGTATATCTGTACATCAGTAGAGGGCACCAGATGTCATAATGGATGGTTATGAGCCACCATGTGGTTGCTGGGAATTGAACTCAGGACCTCTTAACCTCTGAGCCATCTCTCCAGCCCCCATTTTTAGTATTCTTGAAGTAGAATCTGCAAATACAAAGCACTTTACATCATAAAGCAAAAGGAAACATTCACAAGGATTTCACAAAGCCCTTTGAAAAATCAGAGGTCCACTTTGGGATATGTCTCTGTTGTTAAGAATGTACTTTGAAGCCCAGTGGTGGTACTGCATGCCTTTAATCCCAGCACTTGGGAGGCAGAGGCAGGCAGATCCCTGAGTGTTCAAGGCCAGCCTGGTCTACAGAGTGAGTTTCAGGACAGGCTCCAAAGGTACACAGAGAAACCCTGTCATGAGAAAAGAAAGAAAGAAAGAAAGAAAGAAAGAAAGAAAGAAAGAAAGAGAAAGAAAAAGAATGTGTTTTGTATGTGTGAGGACTTATGTTTAGTAAAATATTATAAGGCTTTCAGTAAACTCTTAAGACTTTTGCAGTGGGCAACGGGTGATAGGCAGATGCATACCTGATCAAAATGAGTGCTCAGCCCTAAATGGGACATCTTTGTTGCCCCTCCCTGCACCAATGTTCAGAAAATACTGGGGAAGGGGGGATAATGAATGCTTGGGGCCTGGAGAGATGGCTCATCAGTTATGAGCACTGGCTGCTCTTCCAAAGGACCGGAGTTCAATGCCAGGACCCATATGTCAGCTCACAACTCTGTAACTTCAGTTCCAGGGGATCTGACACCTTCACACCAATGCACATATAATAAATTCAAAGGAAAAAAGAATGTCAGAACTGGATGACCGGGAGGAGTGCTGTGAAATGTTTGTTGTCTTTCTAGATGTGACATGACTACTATAGCACTCAAAACTCTTACCAGATGTGTTTAGCTGTTAAAGAGCAATCCAGCAAAAATTTAGCCCATATATGGGGCGGGGGAGAATTCTGTATTAAAAATGTGTTTTTCCAAGATCTAGTAGATATTCCTACATCCATCACATAAGGGCAGCACTAATTGGATTTAACGTGTTATTTAAAAAAAGAAAGAGTATATGAATTGAGATGGGGCTTCACTGGAAGGACTTGGTGGGGTATGGGACATGAATATGACCAGGTTTCATTGTATACATGTATAATGTTCTCAGGAATAGAGAAAAATTAATATTAAAAACTGCTGTTTGAGAGTGAGTTCCAGGACAGGCTCCAAAACAATACAGAGAAACCCTGTTTTGACCCCCACCCCCCACCAAATTGCTGTTTGAGTTGAGTTGCTGACTTGTTTTATGAAATGATCATTAGGACACAATTTCCAATGATTTCTGAAAGAGCCCTAAACAGACTCCTGCCATTTTTGCACTATGTATTTGTGCAAAGTGGCATTCTCAGCACTAATGATTATAAAATCAGAATGCAGATCAACTCTAATCACAGTGAAGATGTTCTATGCCTTGCAGTATCAAATAGTCAGCCAAGATTTAATTCTCCTTGTAAAAATTAAATAAGCATGTCCATATTTCATTAGTATGTAAATTTTATTTAATCTCCAATAAATGGTAAAATTATACACATAAAAATTAGCCTTGGTTTTTCCAGTTCCGGTTAAGCGACCCTGCTTGGAAACATCTGATGACAGGGGTCTGCTCACCGGATCTGAACTCGGCAGTGGGATCCAGCGCACCTGGACACTGCCAAGGCCCTGGTAACAGTGCCACCTCCATCCACGACAAGAGGACAGTCATCAGAGTATTGGAACTGTTTGCATCGACCAGAAGGGACCCTTGGTCCCATACCCTCCAGGAGAGGAAGAGACTCCTGCTACACCCACCAGAAGAAAGGATGAGAAGAGGACAATGTAAAAGCACACTCAACAACAGAAAACCCAATATGACACCACCGGAGACTAGGAACCATCCACCAGCAAGACCTGAACATCATGATGCAGATGAAGCAGAAGAGAATGACCTTAAAAACACCTTCATTAAAATGATAGAGGACCTCAAAGAGGACATGAGAAAATCCCTTAAGGAAAGGGAAGAAAAAACAACCCCCCCCAAAAATACAAGATATCAACAGATCTCTCAAGGAAACAATTCAAGACCTAAAAACTGAAATAGAGACAATAAAGAAAGCACAATCTGAGGGAATGCTGGAAATAGAAAAGCTGGGTAAATGATCAGGAACAACAGACATAAGCATAACCAACAGAATACAAGAGATGGAAGAGAGAATCTCAGGAGTTGAAGATACACTAGGAGTGATAGACTCATCAACCAAAGAAAATCTTAAGTCCAACAAATCCCTAACACAAAATATCCAGGAAATATGGGATACCGTGAAAAGACCAAACCTAAGAATAATAGGTATAAAAGAAGGTGAAGAAATCCAACTCAAAGGCACAGAAAAATATTCAACAAAATCATAGAAGAAAACTTTCCCAACCTAAATGAAAATACAAGAAGCCTACAGAACACCAAATAGACTAAACAACAACAAAAATTATCCTCGCCACATAATAATCAAAACACCAAACATCCAGAAATAAGAGAAAATATTAAGAGCAGCAAAGGAAAAAGGTCAAGTAACATATA